TAGTTGGCTCCAATCAATTTCCCAATCTGGCAAAGATGGACCATTAAAGGAAGGAAGAAAAATAGGTTGGTTGATAACCTTGGAGGAGATGACTTTCGGAAGAAAGGAAGGCTTAGGGTACATAACCACTTTATCCGGAAGAAATTTTGTAAAGTCAGGAGAGGAAGAAAGGGCCTAGAGTTCCCCTATCCTCTTAGCCAAAGTAATGACCACCAAAAACACAGATTCTTCAATGAAGCTTCTTCCAAAGGTTCGAAAGGATCATTACACAGAGATCTCAAAAGTAAAGACAAATCCCAAGAGGGAAAACAGGTTCTCTTAGGAGGCTTTACGAGTCTTACAGCTTTAAAAAATCTCCTAATGAGAGGATCAGAAGCCCAATTTTTTAACAAAAAATGACAGAGCGGAAACTTGGACTTTGAGGGTAGATAGACTAAAACCTTGAGCAAGACCATCTTGCAAAAAATGAAGGATAGTATCAGTAGAAGGAGAGGATCCTACGTAATGATGAGATATGCACCAGTGAAGAAATCTCGTCCAAATTTTTAAGTAGATGGAAGAGGTAGAGCTCCTGGTAGAATTTAACTGAAACCTCTTTTCTTTAATGCCCCTATTAGGCAGAATTAGCCATGCAGCAGCCAAGCTGTCAACCTGAACATGTTCAATACTTCTACTGAAATTCCCTCATTTTCCATAAGATCCAGTGTTACCGGGATAATCCAGTACTTTAAAGCCATCTTCTTTAAAACCGAGAACCAGCTGCGGTTTGGCCAGTACGGTATTATGGCCAGAATATGAGCTTGATCTGATGTTACCTTTTGCAGAATCCTTGGGACAAGGCTTACTGGGGGAAAAATGTAAGCAAGGGGAAACTCCCACCTGATCGAAAGACCATCCATTACCAGCGGCCTGTCTGCGTTGAAGAGGGAGGCAAACGATCTTACTTTTGCATTTGATCTTCTTGCCATAAGGTCTATGACTGGAAGACCGAATCTCTTCACCAGATGAGCAAAAATTTCTGGATTGAGAGACCACTCGTTCTGGGGCCATTTTGATCTACTTAAATCGTCCGCTACCACATTGTCTACCCCTCGAATGTGAATGGCGGAAATGTCATCTAGATGACTTTGAGTCCAGGACATAATCCATGAGCAAAGGAAACACAATTTTTTTACTCTTGTACCACCTTGTTTGTTCAGGTAGGAGACTGTAGTCTGATTGTCCGACTGGATTTTTACAGCTTTTCCTACAATGAAATCCTTGAACTGCTGAAGAGCGTAGAGAACTGCCAACAACTCCTTGAAATTTGAAGATTCCTTTGTTTTCTTTTTCGACCAAACACCTTGTCTTAAGTGATACAGGAAGTGAGCTCCCCAACCTGTATTTGAAGCGGCTGTAGAAATCACGATCCAAGATTTTTGACGAAAAGACAGGCCTTCTGTAATGAATTTTTCCTCAAGCCACCAAGAGAGTTTTTCTTTTGTATGATCTGATATACTCATTAATGCATCCAAGTCTTCTTCCTTCTTTGACCATTGGACAAGAATTTCCCACTGTAAGGGCATTGCTTCTGCTCTGGCCCATTTTACTGTCGGGATTGTAGAGGTCAGATGACCTAAAACCTGCATGGCTTTCCTCACCAAACATTCTGACATCCGTTTTTTATTAAAATCTTTATCTTTTTTCTCTTTTCTCTTGTCAGATGAACCGACAGAGTGTCTGACTTGATCAAAAACTCTAGAAACAGGATAGACCTTGTAGGGGTAAGGTGTGATTTTTCTAGGTTTATAATCCAACCATGTTCTTCCAGGGTTTCTAGTGTATAGGCCACATCTGATTCTAGAGTGCCTCTTGAGTCTGCCTTTATTAACCAGTCGTCCAAGTAAGGTACTACTGTGATTCCTTGCATCCTCAAAAAAGCTGACTTGTGTGAGGACCTTTGTAAAAATCCTGGGTGCAGAAGCTAGCCCGAATGGAAAGGCTCTGAATTGGAAATGATGGACATTTTTCCCTTTCCTTATAGCAAACCTTGGGTATTTTCTTGATTTTACATCCATAGGAATGTGCAGGTAGGCATCCTTTAGATCTAAAGTTGCCATGAAATCTCCTTTCGAAGGATATGAGTGACAGACGCTATAGTCTCCATTCTGAAATGTTGGTAAGGAATGAACTTGTTCAGGTTTTTTAGATCCAAAATTGGACGAAAAGAAATGTCCGGTTTTGGGACTAGGAACAACCGGGAGTATACACCCTGATATACTTGGGAAGTTGGAATCCTTTTTACCACACCTTTTCTTAATAGGGAGACCGTGGCAGAAAAAAGGGCTTGGTTTTTTAACTTCGACCGGTAGGAGAAGACAAGGAAACTTGGTCTTGGAACATCTAAGAGTTTTATTCGGTATCCTTTTTGCACCAGATTCAGAATCCATGGATTTGTAGTGGTCTCCCTCCATCTGTGAACAAAACCTTGCAACCTTCCGCCCACTCTGATGGCGTCAGAAACGTTTGTTTCAGTCAGACTTTTTGTCTTTTTGTGTGTCAAATCTTGGATCTTTCCTTTGTTGACAAAAAAACCTGGGTTTTTCTTGAAAGCTCCCACGGTTTTTGAACTGAAAATTTCTATACCTGGGTTTCCAGGCATATTTCCTGTCTTGAGGCAGGGCCTTCTTGGTTTCCGACATCTGTCGGATTAACTCTTCTAAAGGAGAACCAAACAACTTTTTCTTCTCCAACGGCAGTTCACATAATGCAGATTTTGATGCAGTGTCTGCTGTCCAGGCCTTAAGCCATTAGACAACCTTACATTTTGGAACAGGAGGGAAAGGCCTTTGTCTTGGTTATCACCCAGACCATCTTCCAAAGTGTTAAGCCAAAGATTCTGAGCTCTCACCACTGAAGCCCCGGCTAATGCTGCTTTAGCCTGAAAACCTGCAGCCTGATAAGCCCTTCTGCTGGAAGTTTCAGCCCTCTTATCCATAGGGTCTTTCAGTCACCAATGGGTATGGTAGTTTTTTTTAGACAATTGAGCCACTTGTACATCAACTACCGGCAATTCTTTCCATTTATCTTCCTCCTCCATTTTAACAATACTTTTAAAATGTCTGGAGATACAAGCCCTTTTCTCAGGGTTCTTCCATTCTCTAAATATCAAATCCAGCATTTTTTGTTGGACTGGAAGTGCTTTACCCTTGGATTTGTCTACCGTTTCATCAGAAAGGATAACATTAACCTCTTTAATAAATTTTCCCAATTCATCATGAGGAAAACCAACCTCAGTAACAGATGAGTCGCTAGAGGATTCTGAATAAGAAAAAGAACATTCACCCGAGGATAGTTCTGAACTAGACGGTATTCTCTTCCTTTTAGACTTCTGTTTAGTAGCTTTTACAGGAGAAGTGTGTGCAGACTCTTTAAAAGGACACTATAGTCACCTGAACAACATTAGCTTAATGAAGCAGTTTTGGTGTATAGAACATGCCCCTGCAACTTTACTGTTCAATCCTCTGCCACTTAGGAGTTAAATCCCTTTGTTTATGAACCCTAGTCACACCTCCCTGCATGTGACCTGCACAGCCTTCATAAACACTACCTGTAAAGAGAGCCCTATTTAGGCTTTCTTTATTGCAAGTTCTGTTTAATTAAGATTCTTATCCCCTGCTATGTTAATAGCTTGCTAGACCCTGCAAGAGCCTCCTGTATGTGATTAAAGTTCAATTTAGAGATTGAGATACAATTATTTAAGGTAAATTACATCTGTTTGAAAGTGAAACCAGTTTTTTTTTCATGCAGGCTCTGTCAATCATAGCCAGGGGAGGTGTGGCTAGGGCTGCATAAACAGAAACAAAGTGATTTAACTCCTAAATGACTGAATTGAGCAGTGAAATTGCAGGGGAATGATCTATACACTAAAACTGCTTTAATTAGCTAAAGTAATTTAGATGACTATAGTGTTCCTTTAAAAGACTGGGACAGATTATCCTGAAACCAAGACAAAAAAGATTTCATATCTTGTTGCTTGGATTTTTCTAGCATCAAAGAAGAGCAAATATTACAGACTTTCCTTTTAAAACCATCTGGTAAAGGAGTGGAGCATTCACTACAACAGAGATGTTTAGCTTTGGAACTGGCTTTTTTAGAAGCAGGTGCAGGCACTTTGTCTTTATCCATATTATCAGTAGCGACAGGACTAGACATATCTGCAATACATAAGCAAATAAACCATATTTGTAGAAACAATAAAAATATAGAGAGTTTTAAAGATTAGAGACCTAAAGAATCTTTACCTCTAAAACCTCTGACCCATGTGGGGGGGCTGGTGACACGGGAGACCTTCACTGCCGAGCTCCATGCGGACAGTAAGATCTGCAAAGCATAAATAGGCAGATGAGTTTAAAATCTGGCGCCATTTCTGGGAGTTCAGACCGCGCATGCGCATAGCGCGGTCGGAACTCCGGTGGAACGCATAACCACCCCGGCGTGCGTTCCACTGCCGTGCGCATGCGTCTGACGGGCAGTGATTTGCTGCCACTAGAGACCGCCTCCCTGCTTCGCCGGTGACTGCACTCGGCGTAAAGCAGGCTTACCATACCTGCTCCGTTATCCTGCAGTATGCTTGCTGGCCATTCAGCTCTCCACCCGGGAGGCTATCAGACCGGATCCCCCTGGCGGCAATCCATGTGCTTCACCATCTCATTCCAGATGCCGTCCGTTCCCAATGGAACAAGAAAGAGAACTGAGGTCCCAGGGCTGGTTTGGTAAGGGGAGGAACTTTTTATGTTAATTATTCATTTCAGATGCTTGTCCCGAGGGAAGAGTACATTCCCTATTGTACTGCCACCATATGTCAGGAAAAGTTTTTTGTTTACATGTTTTCATCATATTTTATCATAAATTATATGATGAATACAATGGTATCTTTAGATTTAATGGTGAGACAAATGGTATACAATAGGTGTGGGTACAGTAAATGAAGGGAAATTTACAGCTCAAAACAAACACCGCAGAAATGTAAAGAAACAGCCCTAGTCCTGAACGGTGAGAAACATGGCTGCACAAATTCAACATTTTTAATATTTAAATGTACTTGTTATCTGCCGATTTGGTCAGGCTGCTGTGGACGATGTAAATACAGAACGCAAAGCTCATGCAATTACTGAAAGGGATGCTATAGTGTAAGGAATACAAAGTTTTATTCCTTACATTAGTTACCTTAGATCTGCCCTCGTTGGCACAGAAATGAAAATAAAAATCTCATAGATTGGCCATGGCACTGGGTCGGTACTGCGCTTCCTCCAACAGCAGGGCTAATAAGCGGCGAGTGCTTTAGGGCCTCCCCAGAGGAAGTCATTGCTTTTTATCCTGCAATGACCAAATATGGACATTCAATTACCATTTCTTGCTGCTACACCTGTCTCCAATATGGTAAATTGGAGGCATATATAGGTGGGTCAGCAAATGGGAGGATATACTGCACTTGAAAAAGACCCTGGAGGGTCGAAACGCATTGTGCTAGCTGCTGTGCCAGCCATTTCTGCTTTTATTATTTTATAACAAATAAATGTTTAACACTTCACCTTACCTGGTTCCTGCTAAGAAAAACTTATTACAAACATCTAAGAGGAGGATCAGATCCAGTGTATCCCTTGGTGAATGAAATACCTTTACAGTCCAGAGCCTAACTTATGTGGCTCTGGAAAGTGTGAGTGAACCTTTTTTATTCTCCACATATTGTAAATATGTTTCAACAATATACAGTTTTCTTGTATAGATTATATATAGGGTCCGCAGTTACTGTAAATAGGACCTATACAAGATTTTAAAGGTAAAATATTCCACTGTTTGTGCGCTTTCACCTTTTTTTTCAGTTGACTATTGCTTTTATGCTGCTTATGGGGATTTAACGAACGCTAAATGTCCTCATGCAGAGCGTGAGGATTTCCAGCATCAGGCAATCAAGTCGATTAGGCACTAGGAAGTGCCTCTACTGGCTGTCTAATTGACAGCCACTAAAGACAGTATAATGTAATCATTGCAGTTCTATTTAAAATAAAAAAAAATAAAAAGCAATGTTACACTGCAGGACTGCACCCAGACCGCTTGAATGAGATGAAATTTTCTGGGTGCCTATACGATCTACTTAAAGGACCACCTCAGCTCAATGAAGTGGTCTGGGTGCCAGGTCCCTCTAGTGTTAGCCCTGCTATGTTTACACTAGAGTTAATCCAGCCTCTAGTGGCTGTCTCACTGACCGCCGCTACTCACAAAAAAAATATAAAAATATAACAGTGAGAAGATGCTGGACGTCCATAGGAAAGCATTGAGAAATGCTTTCCTATGGGCAGTTTGAATGTGTGCGGCTCTTGCCGTGCATGTGCATTAGGTGCTGACGTCGGCAGGAGTAGGAGAGTTCCCTGGCACTGGAGAAAGGTAAGTGGCTGAAGGGGTTTGGGACCCTGAGGGCGAGGGGGGGACCTAAAGACCCTATAGTGCCAGGAAAACGAGTTTGTTTTCCTGGCACTATAGTGGTCCTTTAATAATGCAACAAACTCCTGGATATAGGAAAAATCTGTTTTAGACCAAGTTCTGGTCCACGAATTTGTGGGGGACGGGGAAAGCATTTTGTGTTAAGTGTTCCATCAATTTGAGTTTAAAGGGAAAATGTCATACCTTACCTGGACCTCCAGGATCTCATTAAAGAGGTGTAACACAAACCTGTTGAGATTTATGAAGTGTTAATTTATGTAAAAATAGAAAAACTAAATGGTGTTCCATATTCCGACCACTTTATATGCATTAATTGAACAACCCCCAAAAAATTAAACACATCTTTTTTGGTCTGATAATTTTTTTTTATTAACAACTGAATGACAAGGCTGGAAAACTACAGACGACGACCACGACGACCGCCCTTTCTGCGGGTGCTGTCTGAAGGGATTGGGGTCACATCCTCTGAGAAAAAACAAAACAAAAAATGTTAGCACAAGACAAGTGTCAAACACTAGCATAAGAAGAAAAAAAAACAAAAAAAACCAAAGAGACAGTGAATACTGAAACACAGATATACAACGCAATGAATGTCAGCTTGCAATACAGGACGACTAATTTGTACATAATTTAAGGGGGGCAGACAACCATTACTACTGCAGTAGCAACATTGATTTCCCAAATATTTTAAAGCCATGAGTTTACAAAGTATGCATGAATTTGATACTGCTAATTGTGTATAATATTGCAAGATAAAATACATATATATAAATAAATAATAGACCGGAATAATCTAGCTTTTCAAGGAATTTATGAACATTCTGCAGGAATATGAAACAGCAGAAACTGCTTGATACTAACAATACAGTTTTAGATGTAACTACCACCAAGGTTGTGGGGGTATGTCCTGTCATATTCTAGAACTGTGCAAGGTTCTGGAAAATTTGTATTTGGCAATACTAGAAGCAATTACCATTACAAGCAAGATTAAAATACAACTGAATCTAGTACGACACAGGTAATGCAGGGGGGGAAATGCTTCCAACTTTTGTTAATATTGTAATGCATGTCAACAAAAGTGAATTGTGAGCACATCATTAACCAGCATAACTATTGGCTTGACAGCCCATAGCTGTAATAAGCATATCTAAGGAAGAATTTGGAGACCCGTAGATCACTTTTTTTTTTTTTTTAAAGAGCGTTCCAAAACCACAGGTGAAAGTTGCAATTTAAGTTTAGGTTATAAAAAGGGGCACTCTAGCCATCACAGCTCACTAAGTTACGATGCCAGGAGTACACCAGAATCCCATGCTACCATTCTTAATGTGGCATTTCTTCACGGAACTCTTGGCACAATAACTACTAGAACTGGCTGAAGTGGTAATGGTGCACAGAATGCCCCTTTAAGGAGAGCTGCAGGGCATGTGATTCTTAGCCAACAAATGCAACGTTGCAACTTTAGTACAACTTAAATATGCAAGTAATTTTGAAATAAAGATCTGAGAACATAAACTAAACCTCAAATAACGAAGCAAATTCAAAAATGGTTTAATAGTTAACAGGACATATAATCTGCCCATCAAACTGGCCTTTAGTGTGTAGCTGGAATGTTCCTTTGCAGTTGTCAATTGTACAACGCTATGGAATTTGCTGGCACTATATAAATAAAATAATCAAAGTCTATGCTAGTAAGCTTTCATGACATATCAGGGGTGCCCAATAGGTAGAATCCCAGGATGTTTTCAAACTGCAACTCCCGTGATGCTTTGTCATTCTAAAGGCATGCAAAGAATTATGGGAGTTGTAGTTCTATACCTGGGCATCTACATATTGGACAGCCCTGAACTACATCTTTTACTCAATTGTAACAGACTTGGCTGTCAGCGAAAGTACTCAGATGTTCCAAAATGTGACGTGCCATGTTCAAGAATGAAAAAATAAGGGTCACTAAGCAGTACTAAACACCCCCCCCCCAAAAAAAAACCCCACTCCCCTTTACAAGTGCAAAAGTGATGGGGAAAACAAAAAGTCAGAAATGTTCACATAAGTAAAATGCGCCAATAGAATCCCCTATCTCCACGTTCATGTCGACCTGTCACTTTTCCCACTAGCCTCTACACAAAAGACAACCCAATTTTGTACTCACCAATACGGCCGATTTTCATACCAGAACGAGCCAGAGCTCTGAGGGCAGACTGGGCACCTGGACCAGGTGTCTTGGTTCTGAAACAAATTTGAAGACATTATAATTTGCAATGTTAGACTAAGGGGCACGAAGTAAAACATTAAAGCGGACCAATGTGTATTTAGAACTACAAAACATTTTCAAACTCCATTGCGCATTTTGAATAGGTCAGCAACAGCATTTTCAATGGCTCGTTTTGCCCGAATGCATAGGTCTAATAATACTGAACATATTTTATACCTACAATCAACTGCCTGGACACCTCATTACCAAGACATACCTAGAGCACATTTATAACACTATTCATACAATGCATGACCATATATG